TATTTATTATCTCTTATGGCTACGGATTCAATGCCTGGCCAACACCCTGACTTCTCTCCCCATGACAGTCCCCTGTCTGCATTCACCTCATGGTTTAGTAGATCTGTTCCATTCTGTGACGTGCTACACAATGCCCAATGTGACAAAGATCAGCTTTGTACGTTTTCCTTCCTCGACATGTGGAAATCAGTGTTAAATTATAAAGTAGTGAGAAGGTAAGTAGCCATGGAAGTAAAATGTAATTGGCAGAGTTTTGTGATTTTCTGATGCATATAAACTATTTCTTTTTTTAGTCACTTGTAAAATTTAACTTGAATATTTTACAAATTAGTTTTGCCACAAAAAAGCAGTTTTTTTTTGAGAAAAACTCATTTTTATGATTAGCAGATATTATATAATTGGTCCTCCTGGCCTTAAAAGGCTGGTGAAAATTTCCATCTACACAGGCAAGTCTTCAGAATAGGGTGGTTTACCTGAGTTGGTCCTTCTACCATTTTCTTGTCTCATTCCCCATGGCAAAGGCATTCTCCAGTGTTATCGGCAGCCGTGGGAGGAGACTCCTTGTCTCTTCACGTGTGATATTGTTGAGTTTCATGGCTTTAGTCTGTGAGGCTTACTGTGACAGAGGGGTGCAACCTGGCCACAGCACCAGCTGTCTTTCTGCAGGCCAGAGGCAGGCTGTGACTAGTGTCTCTCCTAGAAGCACAATTGGGTGTTGTTGTTGTTGTTTGAAATAGACTTAATTATTAAATTATTAAAATAATAATTTAAAAAATAGACTTAAATTATTAAAAACAACTGTAGAAATAAAAGACTTATGTATAGCCAGGTCTAGTTCCTATATCTTAGAATTCACAAATGTACATAGTAATATACATTGATGCACATATGTATGTATATGTAAAATGGTGACTGGTAGCAATGTGCCGTTTGTCACAGATCTAGTTTTATGTGTGTGTGTTATGTCACTTATTTCTCATGGGCTTTGTAGGGAAGCAGCCGCCGCTCTTTTAAGCAATGAGATTTTCCTAAGGTCTTTTCATCACCTTTGTTATAGTCACATAAGAAGCCAGTCCTGGAACTGGAATTTAAAAACAGTGCTGGAGGATCTCAAGCCACAAGTTATCCTTTCTACTACAAGGTATAAAGCCAGTCTGTGAATTACTGTATTTTTAGGGTTGAAGAATAGCAATATAAAAAACTGGAAACTGTTTCTGGACTTTGGAGTCTGAGCAGACAAGTGGTGGAGCACTCTGTAGAAGGACGGGCGCCCTGGCGCTGACCGCAGGACAGACGGGCCTGCAGAGTGGACCAGAACCCAGGAACACAGGGACAGGGCCTCGTGTGTCTGCTGTCTCAGTCAGCACATGCTAGGCTTCCGAAACCATGGTGATTGTTCCTTTTTACAGTGCGATTCCATGTGTTTATATAATTATGCAGTATAAAAGGCATTATAGACTCTCTGAGTCCAACGGAGAAAGTGATAGCTGACCTTTCTTCTTCCCCCTCTATAAACGCAACACAGTGTCAAAGTCAGCGGCACTGAATCAGTGCATTGAAGGTGGGAGACTGGTCATATTTTCGTGTTCTTCTCTAGCTGTGTTCTCACAATCAGAGCTTACCACCTGTCACACTACTAGAATTTGTCTAGCTCTCTCCCTTTCTCTCTGGGCTCTCTGTCACTCTCTGTCACTGTGTGTATATTTCCTATTTTCTCCATCTTTTCTATAGCTCTAGTATTCATCCCATTCCATTTTATCTCTGTTCTACTTTACTAGATCTTAGATTACTTACTTGATTTTTGCAAACCTTGCTGAGGTTTGGAAATTGTTAGCTCATCCTAAAAGAAATACATTGAAACTCTTCTCACTGGGAGCCGTTAGCTATGGCTAGCATAATTTTTAAAAGTAAGTCTTGTTAATGCATGCTGAATGTATTATACAAAATGGTATCAGGAGAGAACCAGGAATTACAAAGGTCATTGACTGGAAGACGTGTGACTCCCTCGGGGTTATGAGTCTGATCTGTCCATCTACATGACCCGGGTGCATACACAGGGACACTGGTGTTTAGCACTCCAGAGTCTCCAAGATTGTATTCTTCAAGACACTTTACACACATGGGATACATTTTTTTCCTATTCATTTTTCACTATTTCTACTAAAAAGTCAGACAATGGCTTTGGCCCTAGCATAGACTCCCTTCTCTTCTCCTGGTGCATCTCTGTATTCTGCAAACATTTTCACCCCAAATTAATAAAATATTTCTTACCATTCAGCTGATGTGTGCTACTGTCACATTAGACTTTACTTGTTGTACCTAACATGTATGCCTTTCCAACTGCTTCCTTGTTTTTTATCTACAGGAGTTTGATAAATATAAATCAGTGTGAGTGAGAATTATCAGTAGGTCTACAACAAGATGCTAGCATTTAAAGTGACCATTGGGGGAAATAAAGCTGGGAAGACCCAAAGTCAGACTTCTCAGAAACATAAACCTTTGTTTTAACAGTTGTAGTGACAAAATACCACCTTCAGGGCACACATTACAGGATAACTTGTTATTGTACGTACAAGCCAGTGCACATTTTATGTAATCTCCATTTATTCTTAGTTTGCTGTGGAATTTAGTATTAATAATGTGTATGTTTCATGTAATCTTCACTTTTTCTTACTTTGCTACACAATTTAGAATTAGTAATGGATACTCTGAGTTTTGATCTTTTTATTTGATTACTTGCTATTTTACTTAATTGTAATTATGGTTTTCCATTCTGGAATAACAATTAAGAGTGCTGGGTTCCGATCCCTCTTCGGTGTTCCTTTCTGGAACTCAGCTCTCTTTGATCTGAATAGGGACAGACGTGGACAGACAGTCTTCCTCTATCCACGTACATCGTCGTGTCGTCACACCGCAGGAACATTTCCTTCACCCAGGCCTTAGGTCCTTGTCAGCCATGACTGAATTTTCTTGTCTCCGCCCAGATCCTCATCCCCGCCAGTACTGATCCATGCCACCGGCATGGACAGACCTGTTGCTGTTTTGCTTGCCATCTCAGGCCATAGATTTGTATCTATAAAAGTGATACTTTTGGGGGGAGTCAGTTGTGGGATTTGAACTCAGGGCCTGGGCGCTGTCCCTAAGCCTCTTTGCACTCAAGGCTAGTGCTCTACCACTTGAGCCACAGTGCCACTTCTGGTTTTGGGGTGGTTATTCAGAGATAAGAGTCTCACAAGGACTTTTATGTCTGGCTGGCTTCAAACCACGATCCTCAGATCTCAGCCTCCTAAGGAGCTAGGATTACAGGCATGAGCCTGGCAAAAGATACACTTATATATGTGGACTATTTAGTCCAGGAATTGACATCGTAGTCACAGATATAGATGGTGAGCCAGTAGTCTATCTAGCTATCTATCTGACACTAGATAGATGACTAACACCAGTAGTGATGACCACATATTGGGGTCAGGACATAATGTGTACCTCTGTGTGTTTTAGGCTCTATAATGAATAGTGTCATCAGACAAATGGCCCTTTGTGTGAGGAGGCCTGGGATGGAGCAAACATACCATGCATCACTATTCCTGTTTTCCTTCACTGACTTTTACTAGCATGTACTAAGTTAACCAACCTTTAGTATAGGAACAGAATTGAGGTAAGTATCCATTAGAACACAGAGAAACAGAACACTGCTCACCTTCCACTTCACATAAAAATACAGTGTGCATTGAAGATTAATTCTCCAGTGTCACAGTTTGTACATTATCATTTAAAGTCTTCCAGAAGCCTCATGTTCTCTCTTAAAAGTGACTTAGTGTATATAACATTCATCTCCTTTATTAATTATGTATCACAACTATAAAACCCCTATTTTCTTGTGAATAAAATATGTATATTTGAATACATTGTCTATAAAATAAGCAGGGTAAAATAAAATATTAGGACAATTTACCGTATAGGAGATAATACTTCTCAGAGTGGGATACCAATAAATACAAAAGCTACACCAAATACGGGTGAAGTCACTCGCAAATTAGCACTTCACATTTCGATTATTATTTTTTTCTTTTTTCTTTTTGTCGGTTGTGGGGCTTGAACTCTGGGCCTGGGTGCTGTCTCTCAGCTCTTCAGCTCAAGGCGAGCACTCTACCACTTGAGCTACGGCGCCACTTCCGGATTTCTGGTGGTTTATTGGAGATAGGAGTCTCACGGTCTTTCCTGCCAGGACTGGCTTTGAACCACAATCCTCAGATCTCAGCCTCCTGAGTAGCTAGGATTACAGGCGTGAGCCACCAGCACCCGGCTACCTTTCGATTATTTTAAGTACTGGTCCTCAGTACCTTCACAAATGCATTTACCTCTTCTTCAGGTTTTTTGGACATGTGCTTTAGCAGAAACTCTGGAGCTATCCCCCAGATACTTATTTATTAGCTCTGAAGACAGGTGGCACACATCCTTAGGAAATTGTTTCAAGAAGGGAAGCCATTGAGGGCCTCTGTGTAATTGTAAAATATTACATAGAAACCAAAGGCCTTAGTTAGCGGTGCAAATGGGAAAACGTGATGAATACACTTGCTTTGTTTTGGTTTGGTCTCTGTACTCTAACCTCTACTCTGTCTCTGTCGACAGGCTGTGTCAATGCAGTCTTGAATCGCGTCTCAAGTGCCTGGCGTCCCCTGTGGAGACCCAGCAGTTGTGGTGTTTTCTTCATGTCCACATTGTCTGTCAGCTGGACAGGGAATAGGGTCGTGACACTATGCTGGAAATGAGGAATGCTCAAGGTAACCTGAGAAAAGCCACAGATAGTCATGGATGCTTGGTTCTTGCCTAATTGTTGGTGTAGTGTAGAATTATACGGAGGGCATTGGTGATAGGGTTAAATAATGTGCACTCATTGTGTCGTGGATTTTTGCTCTTTTGTGTAGCTGAGGAACTGCACACTGCAGATTTATAAGGAGAACACTGCAACCTCCCTAATTTCAGCACGTACTCCCACACCTATGGCTACAATTTCCTCCTCGCTTTCCTGTCTCATGGATTCAGCTGCAGCCCTGTTGGCGGGATCCCCGGGTGGAGGGAATCACTCAGTGGTGTCTGAGTTTGTGTTTCTGGGGCTCACCCAGTCCTGGGGGGTCCGGCGCCTCCTCCTGGCGTTCTCTGCCGTGCTCTGTGTGGCCAGTGTGATGGGAAACACACTCATTGTGTTTTTGGTGGCCTCTGACCCCCACTTGCACTCCCCCATGTACGTCCTGCTGGCAGGCCTTTCCTTCATTGACTTGGGGGCCTGCTCTGTCACTTCTCCCAAGATGGTCTGCGATCTTTTCAGAAAGCACAAGATCATCTCCTTCGGAGGCTGCATTGCTCAGGTCTTCTTCATCCACGTTGTAGGTGGTGTGGAGATGGTGCTGCTCATGGCCATGGCCTTTGACCGGTACGTGGCCATCTGCCGGCCCCTGCACTACCTGACCGTTATGAGCCCACGAGTGTGCATTTTGTTTCTGGCTGCTGCCTGGGCTCTTGGAGTTGTTCACTCGCTGTTCCAGCTGGCATTTCTTATTAACTTACCCTTCTGTGGTCCTAATGTACTAGACAGCTTCTACTGTGACCTCCCTCAGCTTCTCAGACTGGCCTGTACGGACACCTACGGGCTGCAGTTTATGGTCACTGTCAATAGCGGCTTTATCTGCTTCGGCTCTTTCCTTGTGCTCCTCGTCTCCTACATCTTCATCCTGCTCACAGTGTGGAAGCATTCAGCCCGAGGTTCCTCCAAGGCTCTCTCCACTCTCTCGGCTCACATCACTGTGGTCATTTTGTTTTTTGGTCCTGCTCTGTTTGTTTATACGTGGCCTCATTCCAATTCACAGATAGACAAGTTTCTCGCTCTCTTTGATGCCTTCTCTCTCCTTTTCTGAATCCACTCATCTACACATTCAGGAATAAAGAGATGAAGGCAGCCATAAAAAGAGTTTGCAAACAGCTAATGATGCATAAGAGGATCTCATAAATGATATAATGAAGATTTCACATTAACCATGATTAGCTTTATATTTCTTTCTGTGTATTTTGAGAAATCAAATATTGATTAGAATGGAGTAGACCTATAATTCTTATGATTTATCTTGTGAAGAATGAGTCATGTATTAAGAGCAACTTGTATTTTTACCCTCTTTATTTTTTAGCCATGTTTTATAATGTTGGGTTTTGTTGTTTTTCCAGTCCTGGGGCTTGAACTTTGCCTGGGTGCTGTCCCTGAGCTGGTTTTGCTCAAGGCTATCACTCTACTTGAGCCACAGCACTACTTCTGGCTCTTTCTGTGTATGTGGCACTGAGGAATCATGCATGGGTTTCATGCATGCCAGGCAAGCACTGTGCCTCTAAGCCACCTTCCCAGCCCTGTGTTATAGTTTTTGCTAAAAAAATCTAGCATATTTTAAAATTTACTCCTAGCTGTTCATGTTTTGATATACTTCAATTAATGTTGGGTTTTATTTTAGTTATAGATGTTGATGGAGTGTATATCGAAGTCAGAGTTTTGCTTGATAGCATTCTATAAACTGGTAAGCAGTCTACTAATAGATTATGTGTAGTTTCCTTTACAGATGGGTCATGTTGTTGGAGAATTACAGTATTTGTTTCAGTATGGATTGATTCTGTTTATTTCTGTGTCTAAATGTACTTGCTAGAGCATAGGTGCAACACGGATTAGAAGTGACTAGATATCCTTGATGTGTTTCTGTTCTTAAGAAAACCATTCAGGGCTGGGAAGGTGGCTAAGTGGTAGAGCGCTTGCCTTGCATGCCTGAGGCCCTGGTTCGATTCCTCAGCACCACATAAGCAAAGAGAAAAAAGCCGGAAGTGGCGCTGTGGCTCAAGTGGTAGGGCGCTCGCCTTGAGCTGAAGAGCTGAGGGACAGCGCCCAGGCCCAGAGTTCAGGCCCCACAACCGGACCCCCCCCCCAAAAAAAAAGAAAACCATTCAATCTTTCATCATTAAGTATGATGCAAGATGCTGGTTTTTGTGCCAGGGCTGTGCTTGAACTCAGAGCCTGTGCTCCTCCTTGACCTTTTCACTCACAGGTGATGTCCCATCACTCGAGCCACACCTCAGCAGTCACTTTGCTTGTTATAAGAGTCTCAGCCTTTCCTGCCTGGGCGGAGTCTGAACTGTGATCCCAGCCTCATGAGTAGCAGGATTATAGGTATGAGCTCTTCGTCCAAGATGTAGTTTTTTCCTATAGGTATTTTTTTTATGTCCCGGACCCCTCTCCGCACCTGCTCCCCGGTGTCCCGCTCTGCTCAGCAAGTATTGTTTGATTACAGTACTTGTTGGTGGGCTGGGCCACTATTAGGATGGAAGCACTGCAGATCTGCATGCACAGGCTTCTGACCTGCTAATTTATGGATTTATTCATGTATGCCGACACCAGGGCCTGAACCCACGGCCTCACTGTCTCACTTGGCTTTTTAGCTCAAAGCGGGCACCCTAGCTCTTGAACCACCCCTCTGCGTATGGCTTTTGCTGCTTAATTGGAGAGAAGAGTCTCGAGGGCTTTTCTTCCAGAGATGACTTCGAATTGCAATTCTCCGATCGCAGCCTCCTGTGAGCCAGGAGCACTCTCTCAGCTGTAGGTTATTTTTAATATTCTGTGCTCATTATGCTATTGTCCATTCTCCTTTACACAGTTGTCCTCTATGTAGCCCCTGGCCTCGTCTACTTCTTCTCTTTCTCAGCCTCTGTGTCGGTGTGTCTGCATAGAACCACTTGCATAGGGAGAAAGCACAAAGAAAATTGCTGCTTACAATGTGAGGGGTTTTGTGGTCAGGGCAGTGAGATGCACAGCTTGGCAAGTCACCAAACACGAGTCTCTCTCCTCCTCTCTGCATTTTCTAAACCATGGACCAAAATGATTAGCGGACTTCTCTAACTTTATGGTTATGTCTGAATACTAGATATTGGCTCCTTGAAATTTATATTTACTCTTAATATATGTTCTAGTCCCTCACTGTATTCTCACAGATCAGTTTAGGATTTTTCAGGATTTAAAATTTTAATTAAAAACTATTATAGAAAATTAACCTTTGGATGGTTTTGCTCAGACCAGACCTATCATTTATAAGCTATTTCTTGTTATTGGTGTTTACACTTTACATCAATGTTAATTTTATGGACAAAAAAGTCATGAATATTTCTCCCCTGTGTGTTTTCATGACTTCTACCTTATTTATCCAGTTTGTTGTGAAGGTGTCAATGGACAGATCGACAAAGCCACAGACTGATCTGTGTGCGGCACCCTAACCCCTGTAGTGATTTTCATACTGCAGAAGTAGATTTAAAAACAAAGTTATTCACTCTGCTTTTCCATCCTGTTATTTTTGTCTAATTGTAATTTGCTTATTATTTGCGTTCATGGCCAAAAATATTCTTAGCAGGAGAAAGAAATGGCAATTTACAGAGTCAGAGGCCGTCCCTGAGGGACCCATTAGCCACTTCCCCTTGCTCCCCTGGGAAAACCCGCATGCCTGTGGAAGCCAGTCCCACCGCGGGCTGACTGGCTGGGGCCTCCGTCTGCAGTGCCACTTGGTCACTACCCACGCACAATTAGTTCTGATAATGAACCGCAGTCTCAGAGGCAGTGCCTTGCCTCTCTCCCCACACAGGGGAGTTTTACTACGCAACAGACAGAAACTTTCTGCATCATCCTCACTCCCTGAAGGTGCACTTTCCTATGCCCTGCAGTCAGAGAGCAAACTTTCTCCTGTGCGCTGTGATTCCTGATTAGCAGGGAGAGCTGGCAGTGTTTGCTTCCCACACAGGTGACCGGATGCTGGCATCCAGACAAGGAACCCACGGTGCAGGCTTTGTGCTGCCACTTGTCCACCGTGCTCTCATTTTTATTTTTCAACCTGTCAGTATTCATCCCAAAGCACTATAATTTAGCATTACTTGTGTTTTTTCATATGGTATAGTTTTTTAGAAACTCTTCTAGTAGACAGCATTCCTACAAATTAAACTTTTGGTGATTATTTTATGATTTGCTTTCTACTTTGAGTTTTACTGATTACAGTGTCACTAAAGTTGAACATTTCCACTAACTTTTGCATTTGCTCCAAATGACAGCTGAATTCAGAGGTTTAATCAAATAGTTGTTTGGTATCATTTGTATCAGAAGGCACAATTACGACTCATTTTTTTAGTTTTCTTTTTTTTGGGGGGGGTCCGGTCACGGGGCCTGAACTCTGGGCCTGGGCGCTGTCCCTCAGCTTTTCAGCTCAAGTCTAGCACTCTACCACTTGAGCCACAGCGCTACTTCAGCTTTTTTTCTGTTTATGTGGTGCTGAGGAATTGAACCCAGGGCCTCATGCATACAAGGCAAGCGCTCTACCACTGAGCCACCTTCCCAGCCCCCACCATTGAATTTTAAAATACATTTTAAGTGCCTATTTTTTATTACTCTTTATATTAAATGCTTCAATTTCAAGAACTTACAAGCTAAGCCTTTGTTCACTGCCTTTAAGTAAATCATACTTCAGAATTGCACAGAAATGGTAAATAATAATTTAAACAAGAACATTTGATCTCTGAGACTGAGATAACTTGGAAAAATACAACACATTGCGAAGTCTGTAGTGCAGCACTTGGTTTTGTCCTTTCTTAATTTTTTTTCTGTTGTCTCTCTTCCATTAGTGTTTTGTTGGATAGCTGGAAAAAGTAAAAAAGACTGTGCCTTTTGGCAAAGGGTAAATGAATGGTTTGTGGGAGATGTGTTGAGATATAGAACACAATTTTAAAATAGAGTTAGGACATTATTCAAGATAAGTTACTAAAATGTTACCTATAGAGATGAACATAGGGTTTGTGGAATAAATTTTAGATTTTTATCTATACTGTTAAATACATGTAAAAACTGTTCAGATAATTTCTCCACTTGGATTTGGGGTTAGTGAAGTAATTCACAGTGTTCTACTGGTCGGTTAGTAAAGGCGAATTATCCAGAATTCCATTGATCTGTACTCGTATCTGGAGACAGGAAAGAACTCCAGTATGAACTAAATTTCCTGTTTTCCACCCCAACTCACAGGTCTTTGTGTTGTTGGTCTGAAGTGCTTAAGACAGGCCTTCCGGGCATCTATAGAACCCTTGGACCCTATAGAATATCTTCTGAATCTTTTCATGGCTCTTTTTATCTCTTTATCCCTCAGTGTATAAATGGCTGGGTTTAGCAGCGGTGTAACAACAGAATAAAACACAGCAAGAAACTTGTCCAGCCAGGTGATGCTGAGAGGCCACACATAGATGAAGATGCAGGGGCCAAAGAGGAGGACCACCACTGTGATGTGGGCGGAGCAGGTGGACAGGGCCTTGGAGGCCCCGCTTGTGGAGCTCCGTCGCACAGTGAGAAGAATGTATGTGTAGGAGATAAGCAACAGAACGAAGCAGGTTATACCCACAACTCCACAGGCAGCGTTCATCAGTAGGTCCAGATTATAGGAATCTATGCAGGCTAGCTTGATGACCAGTGGTATGTCGCAGAAGAAGCTGTCTATGTCCCGGGGGGCACAGAAGGCAGCTGTATGACCACTACCAGGTGACTCATGGCATGCACGAATCCAATGGCCCAGGCGGTCAACACCAGCTCCACACACTTCTGCAGGCTCATAATGGTGGGGTAGTGGAGTGGTCTGCAGATGGCCACATAGCGGTCATAGGCCATTACCATTACCACAAGGAGCACCATCTCACCTGCAGCAATGAAGTGGGCAAAGAAAATCTGGCACAGGCAGCCTCCAAAAGAAATGGTCTTGTCCTCCTTGAGAAAGTCTGAGATCGTCTTGGGGGGCTGACTGAGGAGAGCCACAGATCAACAAAGGACAGGTTGGCCAGCAGGGGAAGTGGAGGTGAGGGTCAGTGATGATCAAGATCATGATGACAGTGTTCCCTGACAGAATGATGACATAGAGCATCAGAAATGCCAGGAAGGGGAAACCTGAAAATTCTGTGGGAGCC